GACAAGCCTCATTAACTTACAGTGAAAAGCACCACTTCTTTCTGAGATAACAGTGTGGAGCAAGTATTTGAATGTGCAATTAATCACTTTTGTTCTGAGAGAGTCAAAAATGAGCGAGTGTTGGTACCATTCGTTTTCACGTTCATGTTTCATAGAGCATGACAATTTTCTATTCTAGTGATTCCATTGCAGTGGAGAGGTTTAACACAGCCCTTGCTTAGTTCTGTATGTCGTAATAACAAACATCTGCATTTGAATTCTTCCATTGTGCATTTGTATGTTTTAGGAGAGCTAGCTACATAATTACAGCAAGGTGTGCTGTGCCTTATAGGTAACATCCAGGTGAGGAATAACAGCAACATTTGGTTCCCAAACTGCAGGCCACCTTCAGGCTTCCCAAACTGAGATCCCAAGGTTGTGATCCCATATCTCTAATCCAAAGCACTGTCAGTGCAGGTGAGATATTGTGCTTCTGAAAACATGACTCCTCTTCCATGGATGCATCTCGTGGACCCTCAATACTTTACTGGAGTCTCACTGTCTTTTTCTGATTTCACATGCAAGCTGGCACAAAATGCTATCCAGAACAAAAGATTGACCACTATTGACTTTAGAAGCCCCAGATTAATACAATTTTTTCAAAACAACATGCCCCAGATTAATACAATTTTTTCAAAACAACATGATGCCATAGTCCTTTATATTGTAGCAATTTCACACTTAAACTTATCCCAGATGCTGATGTTCTGATGCTGTGAGCTCCATACAGCAGTCTTTTTAGTGAAGAACCATCTTGAAACTGTTTACCTTATCTGTTAGCAAGGTTTTCAGGTAGCATCACGTTACCATCATTATGTTGCTTCCAAAATTACCTCACTTAAATACAGTCAGTTCAGAGTGTGGGCAGAATGGGACCATATCATGGTCCTCTCTACCCTCCTCGGTGTCTGTAATGTGCCCAGCTTTGCCATTGATGCAGAGCAGAGAAGGAGATTGAGTTAAGCTGCCTGAATATGGCCAAACTGTCACAAAGGGAACTAGGAATCACTTACTAGCACACTGTAAAACACCCAGACTTCCTATGTAAACAAGGCCAATACTGTTAAAAAAGGGGAAGAAATGTTACTTTTACTAATAAGTTTGGCCATTTCTTTAATGGCCCAATGATACATTATTAACAGAGCTGGATATTTTAAGCAGATCCATTCCTAAAAAAAAGGAAAATAAAACATGTTGTTGGCCTTGTAAAGCACTGCTTTACACACACAAATTCTCTCATACCTCAAGATGAATATCCTCCCTATTCCTACTCATAATTTTCAATTTCCCTTTTTTTGTTTGACTAATGAGAGAAGGTAATGCTTCAGTTAAGACAAATTAATATTCAAATAACTGAGAAGAAGCATAAATCAGTCCAAGATTTCTTAGAGGTGCATTTTTCTTGCCTACAGGTTTGGGAAGATCTCTAGGTTTTAAAGCTGTAAGGTTTAGGAAGGTCCCAACAATAGTGCAGACAAAATTTAATATCACATATACAAAGAAAAGTATGAACATTAACTTCCCACACTGGCCTATTCCCATGATGTTTAGACCCTTCAGATACTTGTAGACATTTACCATATTTTCCCTTAGTCATTGTTTGGCTGAGCTTATACATGCTTAGGCCTTTTAGTCTTTTCTCATAAATCAAACTGCAACCCATAATTACTTCCGTTACTTTTATCTGAAGCTTTGCCAGTTTGATGACATCTTTCTGGGATCAAGATTTATTCTAAAATTCGAGAGAAAACTGTAGTCATTGCTGCTTCTAGGGTCAGTCCCAAAGTTAGTGCCCGTGATGCTTAAGAAAGGGATGGTGAAAGTTTCTGAGATGCAGAGAGAAAACAGTGGGAACTGTGCTACATTGGGCACAGACTGGTGTCCTCAGAGAGGGTTCAGACCAAAGGGGAGGTGTTCCCTTCTACTAGATTTATTTTTGCATGTGGATAATGCATTGATGGAGTAAGAAATCTTGCTAATATTGCAGTCTGATTTTTAGTCCTTGAGATAAGAGCATATATGGAAGAAAATTAAAAGCAGAGAAACTGTGCTTTTCCATCTCAGTCACTGCATCCTTGGGCTGGAAACTCTCAATTGCTTTTGTAACAGGCAGAACCAACTGAAAACTTGTGCAAGGAGGAAAAAAAAATGGTGCTGTTGTAAAACAAAACTTTGGTACAATTAGAAAACAAGTGCATGCAAAGAATGAAGGTGATGTCATCTGGACACAAGCACAAGAGTACAGTGCACAACTAATTCATACTGGCTTGGATAGCTGTGTGTGTGGACTGAATAATCACTAAGCCTGAGGGCAAAGCAGAGTGATAGATGGCAAAGTACAGCATGGGAGAGGAAAGGGGGAAATGCACAGCTTTTACTGAGATGTGTGGCAAGCTTCATCTGAAGGTGAAGGTGTAGTGAGTATTTGGCACACTGGAGAGATGGGGTGATGTTGGTCTTGATGAGTTTCCCTCCACTGGCCTTCAGTACTGAAACAGATCCGATGAGACCACAGCAGTGTTTAGGCATACAAGGTGTAAATTACCTCAGGAAAATGGTGAAAACATACTCCTTTTAAAGTTTTACATTTCCTGTGGTTTTGGATGATTGGCAAAGTGGATTTACCTGCAGGGTATAGGCTTTCTCATTTTCTCTTTGAGAATGAACTACAGTTTGTCACTGCTTTCTCCTGAGTGAGGGATCATCTCAAGTCTTATTCACAATCTAGAAATAAAAATAAAATACAGTATGATACACTTTGCTCATCCATACTTCTTTTTCAATTCCACAACCTATAGACATGTTCCTTGCTGTGAGAAATTGCTGAATTTAAGCTTACTCTCATTTGTCCACTGAATTACCAGGAAAATGTTTTTAAAAAATCAGTGCAGAGAGGAGTTATTTTCTTTCCAAGCCAAGTAGAATTAAATTCTGTCAGTGAGAGATCGTTTCTAAAATACATTGTCAGATGTTGCTCATTTCCATGCAAAAAGGGGTCTTCTTTGCCAAATATGCATGGCGTGTTTGTTCCATGCTATGAGCAGTGCTTATGGTGGGTTGCTGTCATTGGTCAAATGAAAAATGAAGGCTCAGTTCCAAACTCTTAGTCACTGTTGTTCTGAATATGTGGAATCTCAAGGGGAAAAAAACCAAGGCTGTCCTTTTTTAAGAAACCACAAGGCCCAATGATGACCATTCAAGGTAATTATATGTAGTGATTTCTTACAAACAATTTCATTAGTTTTTCTTGAGTAATTTACATAACAAAGATAAAGTCACTGTTAATAAGTGGAAAGTAAAATTTTACTCTCAAATTTGTCAAAAAAAAGCTTTTTAAGATAGGGCAAATGGGGCTGTGCTCATCCTGGTCAGGTAAACCATTGCGGGATTGCCAGGGCATGTTAGCTTGCTCCCTGCCACAATTTTGGCTAATATAGGGTAGCACTTTTCCAGATGATGCTGGGATCTGATTGAAATGCTGGACAACCTTGGCCTATTTGAATTACTGGTACATAGTTTAAAGGACCCAGTGGCTCCCCTTCGCCTGGGGAGTGCTGTGCTCCCTCCTGCCTTCAGCACGTTGCCCTCAGTGTTTGCTGGTAGCATTCATTATTCATACTCGTGAGGACTGTGTCTCCTTTAACATTACTCCAGGCTTGCTTGCTGGCATGTGTCTGGAGAGTGAGTCATGTGGACTAGATGGTGGTTTTGAGCCTTCTCCAAGTGATGAGGACACTGAACCCAGGTTTTTCACCACCTGGGAAGTCCTTCAACCAGGAGGCAGTGAGCTGAAAGGAAAGGGCTGATGTCCTTCCCTTGAAATGACGCAGTTGTCTAATGTGTGAAGAGTTTGATTCTGCTGTGTGAGGCAAGTCCAGGCACAAAGCTTAGCAGCTTTGTGGGACCTAATTTTTGGATGCAGGTGGTACTTCAGCAAATGCTGAAATGCTGAGGATGGGGCTGCCTGGGTGTGCCTGGAAGGAGAACTGTGTCTGGGGAGCTTTAAGTGAAGAGCTTGGTTGGGGAGGAGAGAGATTGGAGGCCTTGTCCCAGATTTCAAGGAAACCTTTGTGGAAGACAGGAGTCCATGTTTAAATATTGCGATTTTTAATTATCATTGCACTGAATGCGTCCCTTAACTCATCAGAAACAGAGAACCGTAACTGATACTGATGAAGTGCTTGAGCAAGGGTTAGTCCACAATTATCAGAAGAATTTGACATTATATTAATTTCTAATTCATACATTTACCTCTTCCACCTTTTCTGTATGTATATTAATAATTGTTAGGGAATTGTTATCCTACCTCCCTCCAATTCTTTATATTGAATTTCTTCCCTTTCTCTTGATCTCACTTTTTACTTTTTTTTTTAATAGTGAATCACAGAAACATCAAATAGAAGCATATTTTTTGACATTTAGAAAAAAACCAACCTTATCCAACTTGGACTTCTGACTAGAGTCTATTCCCATGGTTAAGCACATTTTGGATTTAAGAATTTAGCAATGTGCTCTTTCCTTTGTTACAAGGGTGCTATTAGTGGACCAGTGTGGTGTCCACTGCTCTCATTAAAGATCAAGGCAAAACAAATCCAACTCTGAAATTACATTGTTATCAGACTCTTTAAAGTCCTGGAATGACTTAAATTTGTTTCAGTGTGCTTTGTCATCAAGCACTCTGGGTAAACACATACTTTTTCCCAAAAACCATAGTTTCTGCTCAGTTGGAACTATACTGAAAAGACTTTTTTTTTCAGAAGTCACTACTGCCATCAATAATTTCATTTCCCAGCTACTCTGAGCTCGTTTGGTTTTGATGCAGTCTTTTCCAGAACCAATTTTTGAATTTAAATGCAAACCTTAATGCATTATTTTGTGGTATGTTTTAAAACTTAGGAAGGGCAGAAATATTCCTGTGCACAGATGAGCTTAATAATACCTTTTGTATTTTCATTTTCAAGAGGCATTTGTCCCCTGAAGAGTTCCAGGAAGTCTTCAAAATGAGCATTGAGGAATTTGATCGGCTGGCACTTTGGAAGCGGAATGACCTGAAGAAAAAGGCCCTGCTTTTCTAAACCCTCCTGGATAAAATATGTGCTTAATCAAAACAAAAATAGTCTTGCCAGAACTATCACATGCACTTGCTGTTGAACCATTGTCCAGCTTCATTGTGTTAGTATGTGTCGGGGGAAACAAGACAGATTAGATGGTAATGTGTTGGGATACAGAGAATTTGCTAATCCTGCATTTCCAGCCAGTTTTGTCAGTAACTCCTGGTCCTACCCAGTTTACAACGTGCGAAAAATCTAGCTTTAAATTTATTGTTGCTTGCAGTTATTGCTTGATGCATATGGAAATTCTGAAAGGAAGAGAAAAAAGTGTAGCTGTGACACGGGAAATGCATCCAACATTTTGTTCCATTAGGTTTTATAATGCAATTTTTACAAAATGAAGTAAGTAATTCATATAAAATTTTCCAGTGGGGGATCACATGCTATAAAAAATATGGTAAAAACCAAAGAAAAGCATATCCGCAAGCAATTATTGCAATTGTTTATGTGTGGTACTTTTTAAGAATGAAAGCAAAAATATGGAAGCACCTTAATTCTACTTCTTATATTTAAACACAGCGTACTCTTTAAAAGGTCCTATTTGTCTAGAAGGTAACTAGCTATCTTTAATTACAACACCAGAGTTTTTATTTTATTAAGAATATATTGTGACATAAAACAGTTATAATCACTAAAATGTATACAGACCTACGTAAAGATTTAGTCCCATTCATCAGGAAAACTGAAGCCTTATACAAAACTGGTTTAAGAGTGTATTGTGCCAGAGGACTGTGTTCTCCTACTACTTTGGGGTGTTTGGAGAACTTTTTTTTTACATTTCATGCTGATAAAAATACCATGCAATCTTAATTAGTATGTAGATAGATCTATCTACCTATAAAAGAATTATTTTCATTAATATATGTCCTAAGTGAAGACACTCTTACTTTCTCAACTTTCTGGCTTTACATAATAAGCCATGAGAACTGTGAGGGCAATTGGTAGATGTGGAAATGGAACAATGTGGAAATGTAACAAAAAAAGCTTGGTGTGCTCTATCAATAATACAGCCAATTATAATCAAATATATAAAACCCTCATGCATTACTATTTGCATGTTTCTGTACAAATCAATTTGAAAAGAAAAAATCCTATGTGATACTGGTGCAGTACCTTGAAACTATCTTAAATAACAAGAAAAGCTAACAAAATCTAAGTGTTTGATATGAGCGTTAGACCTTAATATCTCTTCCAGCTGAAAGACTTTATTAAATTTAATAGTTTCATATGATCAGAAGTATGGTTGCTGACAAAGAATGTTTTAAAATGAGTTGCTAGTTTTGTGTGATACTAAAAGAGCATTACAAAAAGTACGTTTTTCAGCCATGTGTCAGTATTTTGCATTTTTACTGCCTTGAATGTTTGTACTCACCTCCTACTTCACTATGTCTTTTTGCATTTCCTTAAAGTAACTGGTTAATATATGCACTACAACACACTATTTCAACTTGGAAAAATCATAGCATTGAACATGCCTTCTTCCAACTAACATTCAAAGTCCATGCTGTTGGAAATAAATATTTTCTCATGACCTAAATGTTTTGTCTGATGATACAAATGTTAAAAAAAAATTCATTAAAACAAAGACATAACTGAATGACTTTTCTAATGTGTGTATAATTTTTAGATTGTACTGTTGCTTTGGATAGGGTCTTCCCATGATATTAATGTAATGCCACTGAGGAGAGTATTGAGTGAACTTCAGCGTGTCAAGTTACTGTAAAGTTGGTCATGATTTAAACAATCCATGTTCTGCCTGCACATGAAAACTGGCAGTGCACTGAAATGGGTCAGTCCTAAACATGATCAGCAAGGCCCATTGCTACTATGAAAAGCTAAATCCAGCAGAACAACGGGTGAGAGAATGATGATGAGGAAGTTAGATGTTGGTGAAGACCGCTCTTCTCATCTGCACCTTCCTGGGACATCAGATTGATTGCAGGCATCTTCTCACTGAGTAAAAAAACTGTAGGTTGATCAAATATGTCAGTGCAGATCAGGTTAGATATGGAACTTTATAAATAATTTGAAAATTTCTTTCCCACAGCAGCTGTTGTACTGGTGTAGGATTCAACTTATGCCATAAGGAAAAAGTACATTACTAAGAAGCACATATGATCAACAGCTCTGTGCTGCTGTACTGTTTTATGTATCAGCAGATGTATGGCTGATGGCAAGTGAGGATGGTGAGATCATGTGAGCTGCTTGACCCATTTACACTGTTTTGAGAAAGTTAATCTTTCTCAATGTTATAATGTCAACACCCTTAAAAGTGTCTCTTGAAGGTCCTTGCCTCAGGTAGCTGAGCTAAATCAAATACAACTCTTACTTTACATGCCCCCATGTAGACATTTTAGTTCGCAAGCATCAGTTCTTATCACAGTGCACAACTGTATTGGGAGTAGTACCCCATCATCTTTCTATATTTGCTTACAAGTCCTTTTGTCATTCTGTGCTCCCTTTTATGGTCAACGAAGAGAAAAAAGGGTCTTCAGTCAGATCCTGATGTTCAAAACTAGTGAGATGAATTGCCCCGATCCTATTCCTGTGCACTGAATATAAAGAAAGCCAGTCTCACTGCAGAAGTATACATTGCAGGCTGTCTAATCTTAGATTAAATTAATTCTATGCCTACAGTCTATCAGTGAAAATAAGCCAAATTTTATCAAGTTGGTGGAATACCACTGGCAGTTCCTTGACCATGTTACCAAATCACTTTCAAGCCACCAGGAAAGTACTTCGAATTGCACAGATCTAACAAAACACCCTAACACAGTAATTCTTTGTGTTCATTATACTATTCACTAAACAGGCATGTATTCCATGCCAAACACACAAAAATGTTTTAGAAGACAGTCAGTTTATCAACTTATGTTGCTACTACCAGCCAAAACCAAAAAGGAATTTTGGCTTTCATACACAAAACTTTAGCTAACTTTAGAAGAACAACTACTCTTGTGTGTCCTTCTTATTTCATTTTCCTGAAAGTTTGAAATGGTCTGTAGATGTCTGTTCTGTGCAAAGGTGGCACAACTCAGCTGTTCGTTTTGTCAGATGATACATGCCAGTGTATCACTCTATATTTAAAGCATCTACTGTCATATGGTGTAGTGACTTATTCAGTTATGCTTTCTAGCCTAACTAAATTCACATTTACAGTACGATATTGTGTGCTGGATTTGGCACCAACCCAGTGTAAAACAGCCATAAAGTGAGTAGCATTGTAATTCACTTCACTGCTAAGTTTTCCGTACATCACCTAAATTCCATAAACCAGACCACAGTATACCAGAGAATACAAGATTTCTGTTTCTAAAATTGATCATGTTTTCCTCATTTAAAAATTGCAAGTTGGAATTTTAGTCATGTAGTTCTCTTTCAGGAACTTTGGGTGTCTAATTAAATGTGAACAGACTAACATGCAGAGTCAATACTCTGGTTTATTTTAATAGAGTTCCATATACTAATCTTAAATAGCATTATGAAATGGAAAATGCATTTCAGAGTAATGAGATAACACTTTGCCAGATTATTCCATCTGATAGTGTGGTCTGGCACTGGCAGTAAAAAACTGAGAGTCTCGACAAATCATAGGCTGTTTTTCAGATAATGCTCTTTAGAGTTATTAAGTTACTGTTCTATAGTCTTGTTTTCAAGGACATGCTGTCTTTCAGCATTTTGTTAAGTATGGATATGGCTATGCAGCTCAAAAGGGGATCAATATAGCTCTTGGTGAAACTTATTTTGATATGTATACAAGAGGCAAGGGAATTCTGTCAGAGATTTCATTTTCATTCTTGGATCTGAGTTGTATGTCTCAGCTGTTCATGACAACCCTGATGTATGACCTAATTCTCACCTCATGTATTTTAAAGACGTCTCAAACACAGCAATGAAAGAGCCAACTTATTTCATCATCTTAGTCTTTGAGACAAAGGAACACATGGATTTTTGTGGTTGCTGAGGAATATCTGAGCAACAATTCCAGATAGGAAACCGGGCATGCCAGATTACCATTATAGCTGTCTGAGAAGGCTGGACATTTTTGTCCGACCCTCTGCTATTTCTTTTCCTTGTGGTTCAGGGGAGAACTCTGAAACTTTAATTGCAGAAACAAGAAATTACATAGTTGTGAGACACTACCTGGAATCTAGTAACCCTCTGAGACAAGGTTAGTTTTACATGAGCAAAAAAGTTATAGTTCAGACCAAAACAGACTCCTTATCTTTCATTCCTCATTTTGATTTTTTAACATTTCCCTAGTGTGAACAAGCCAGACCATTAATTTTATCAACCTTTTCACAGATCTGCAGGAAAATGCTGTTCTGCTATATGAAAATGAGCTAGGTGAGATCCCAGGCACTTCTGTCTGTCTGGTGCATAAGCTTCAAAGTGTCCTTATGTTCATATTCTCCTGCCCCTTTATTTTGTGTGTGAGGAAAAGGGCAGGGTGGTGTTCTTCTAAGGTTCCTAAGGTCTAGACTGACCCTTGACCAATGTGATTATTTGATAGGTCACCATCGTGGCTACCATTTTTCAGATACCTCAAATATCTGAAAAAAAGATGACTGTTTTTAATACTGCAATGACAGGTGTAACCCTCTTGTACGTGTAAAATTATACTGGAGGTTGCACCCCTTCTTCATATCCAGGCTGCTTCTGAGGTATGGCCTAATCCTTAAAGGCTCATGAGAGCTGCTGGCTCAGGCTTTTTGAGTCTTTGTATCCCGCCTCACAACCACCACCTCTGTGAGTTACGGCCGAGAGAAGTAAGTGGTTCTAATTGCTCTTATTTTCGTGATTCAGCACATTTTCTTCCTACCACTCAGTGTTTGACATCTCGACTACTATGCATGCAGGTATGTGTAAGGTAGGTTCCATTTTTTTTTCCCCAATGGTTCCACAAACCTGTGCAGCACCCAAGAGCTTGGGAGCAGCCAGGCCTTCCCTGCCAGACTGCCCAAGCAGCAGCTCCAGAGCAATCAGGAGGAAACCAAAACCAGACAAAAGTGATTTGTCCCACCTAGGTAAATGTATCATGATTTGGGCTTTAAGGAAGAGGTTTACTGTCTTAGCTATGATGTATTTGCCTTTTATTAGAAGTCTTTATACCCTTGATTTCTGTTTCTGAATCTCGTTATATTTGTGTCCTGGATGACCTGTTTTCTCCATTTGCTATGGTACATTCTTTTATTACATCCTCCAACTCATCTCTCCACAAAAAATTGCAATGTTTTCCATTCCTTTTGAGATTTAAACCTTTCTCTGCCCTTGATAATTTTTTTCTGCAAACTCCTTTCAGCCCATTGTACCTTGTATTCAGGAATGGTCTGACAAAATAAAGGCATTGCAGTGTTTGCTTCATATTTGCCGTATTGTGTCAAGCACTATAATTTTTTTTTTTATGGGGGAAGAAGAAAGCTAAGAATGACTGACTTTTTATTACAAATCTACATTATGCTGAAGCCTTGCTTGACCCAACCTCACTATTGCAAGGGGTTTTTTTCCTCCCAAGTGGACATGATTCTGAACTCTGACATGAGTCATTATTATTTCTTGCGCTACTACTATAAATTTTTTATTATTAACTGATAATTAAGAAGGTACCATGATTGATAGCAAATTAAACAACTGAGGTTGTTAATGGTCTGTCTGAATTTGCTTTCAGCTCTCTGACCTGGAATAATTCACTTGAGGAACAAGGTTAAAACTCTTTATGTCACTTGACAGTTTTGCTAGTCAGACTTCAAAAAAAAAAATTCTCTCAAGGATGTGGAGTATAGAGCTCCCCACTTTGAGCTCCCCATTTTTTCCCAACTTTGTACTAGATGTTTTTCATTTCCCAGTTAGTTTTTGATAGATTGGAGTGCCTGGAGGACTTTATGAGTCACTCTATAAGCATCAAATTCTTCAAATTGCATTTTTTTGTCTTAATCCTTTTTTTCAGTATAATAACTGGTTATTTTTATAGTGCAATAAAAATAACATAATAATCAAAGACTACTGAAAAAATTTATCCATTTTAAATGGCACAGAAGAGAATATAAATACAGAATAGAAGCTGAAATATTTTCTTTGAGTAGGGGCTAAAATTACAGGGTTCTACAGAAGAATGCTCTCCTGTGGGAGGATGCTACTGCTCTAGGTTATTGTGAGGTGCTCAATTTCAAGGCAGACACCTTCTTCCCGGGTCTATAAATATTTTTGATAATATTCCATAAAAATGTAAATATTAGATTATGTGCTTTCACATTTCCTGTAACTTTGTACCTCTGAAATATGCTTACTTTTAAATTAGTATAATTTGGACCTTCACCACTAATTTAGGCCTTCAACAATCACTGGATGGCTAAGATTAGGATTGTTACATTAACATCAGTTTGGCAACCCTGCTATTATTCTGAAATTGTAAGTATTTATGAAAATTTTCTTTACCCCTAACTTGCTTACTAAAAAATGGTGAAACGTCTACTGTAAAAAATTCAGTAAGAATTAAGGAGGCTGATACTTGCAAACCAAAACTTACTCCATGTCGTCAGACCTTGATTTCCAACACTGCACACAGGTTAAGCATTAAAGTAGCAGGTGCCCAACCAT